CCGCAGGCAGCGGCGGCGGCGGCGGCGGCGGCGGCGCCGCCGCCGTCTCGTTCCAGCGTGACGCTGCTCCGCTGCGACGTCTCCGCCAACGCCGGTCACGGCGCCTGGGTCACCGGCGGCGGCTTTTTGGCCGTCGGCGACAGCTTGTTGTACAACAACCTTGGTTGCGGGATGGCGGCTGACGGCAGCGGCTCGATGCTGACGGCGACGGGAGCGCGACTCATCCGTAATGAGGGCCATGGAATTCGAGCCGCCGCCGCCGCGGGATTGGTGCTGACGCGTTGCTGTGCTACGGGCAACGGACGGGACGGCGTGGCGGTGGAAGGGCCGGCCACTCGGGCTCACATGACAAGGCGAGTGGCCGTACGTCGGTTTGCGTGTGCCGTATATTTTTTTGTTGTGTGTATGTATGGATGTCCATGGCATCCAGTAAGCGGTCTTGTCTATATCTATGTTTACCTTTTATTAAAGCATAGGCCACACTTTCATATATCCAATCACTAAAAAAATGACAAAACTTATTATTAAGTGGTTTGCTTTCTCGCAAAAAAAGCTCCTTCCAAATCTGCTCAGCCATGTACATTTTGAAAACTGAATGACGCCTTTCTGTTGGTTCTTTGCCACGTGTCGCCGCCGCCGGCTCCGCCGCCGCCACCTGCGGTTGTACGACAGGTGTGAGTGTCGGGAAAACCGCGAGAGCGGATTGTGCGTCACTGGCGCCGCCGCTGTCGAGCTGTCGTACAGTCGCTTCGCCGCCAACCAACATGATGGTCTCTCCGTCGGCGGCACCGGCAGTACGGCAACGGCGCATGGTTGTATACTGAACGGCAACGTGGCCAAGGGCGCTGTGGTGTGCATGGGCGGCGCGGCGGAGATGTCAGAGTGTGCCGTACACTGTAACGGCAGCAAGAGCGTTCAGGTACGGCAAGACGTTTGCGGGCGGGATAATTTTGAATGGCCTATAGGGGATCCGGTCGCTTTGTGTTGCTTTGGTTGGGAGGCGCGCCATTGTGTCGTACTCATCACTGCTGCTGCTGTGCTACGGTACTCGCACGGCATGTCGTACCGGATGTGTACGGCCGTACAACACGGAGCGGCAGAATCCTCTCCCTGCCTTGTTCCCGTCTTTGCAAAACACACCCGGGATTGTTCCCGTTCCCGTGCACTCTCAGGCTTGCATAACATCCTTATGTCGTATATCCCTTCGTAAGTGTCGTACATGTTGTGCCGTACTATAGGTTTCGGACGAGGACAGTCGGCTCGTACTGGGTCGTACATGCGCTCTGGACCGCCAGGCGGTGGCAATCGGCGGCGGATCGTTGGTCTACGTTGATGCTTTCCCAGTTCGGTAATGAAGAAGCAGCTCTCCATATGGGCGATGACATCCGCGAAGCTACACCCCCACGATTACTCCCGACAGGAACGGTACAACAGCTGTACGACAATGGGACGACAACTGTACGACAATGGGACGACAACGGTATATGACGAAAGGTCTAAAAGGCCTGGGAGTTGTGCAAGAAAACTCAAAAATCAGGATGAGAAAGAGAAAGACGGTGTGTGGCGGGGGGCGGGGGGGGGGAAAAGAGGGAGAGAGTGGGCAGGAGATGGGCCGTTTCGGAGTTCCTTGGCGACGCCGTCTGCGCGTTGTTTACACAGCGCACACGGTGGTGATATATGTGGTGCACAAAAAGGCAAACGGGGGGCGTTTTATGTGCTAACAAACTGCCGTGCGTGGGTGGGCCCTGCGTGAGCAAGTGGCCCTGCTGTTGAATATTTATGTGTGTGATCCCGGCAGCAGCTTTTCTCGCAAATTGTTCTTGTTGGCTAACGCGATCGGCGTGGACTCGATTCATTTGCTTAATTTGAATGTGCTGTTCTCAAAGCGATAATGTGCGCAACTAAACCCACCGATTTCTAAGGTTTGCGATTGGCGACAAATGCATTTCGGGGTCAGAACGTACGACCTGTGACTTGCGCCGTACTTGATGTACGACTTGCGGTCCTTGCGTCGTGATTACGGCTTGGCCGAAGTAGGCTTCGGGGGTTTACCGGGGGGGGGTTAGCTTTTGTTTTTTTGTGTGTGTGGGGGGGACTGCGGATTTCCTTTGCTTATAAAAACTTGCATTTTGCATTTTCAAATTTTTGAATGGGCGCTGGATTTGGTCGTTTTGGGCATTGTATGTCACTGTCGTGTTGTGTGTGTGAGGTCACACGTTGCGCTGTGCTGCGCCGTGTGTCTCTCTGTCTGTTTGTCTGTCTGTCTGTCTGTCTGATATAGCCGCGATTTAGGCTTTCTGGACAGGTTGCGTGTCTGTATCTCTGTATCTCTTGTCTGTCTGTCTGTCTGTCTGTCTGCCTGGGTTTGTGTGACTTTCTGTTTGGCTTCATGGCTTAGCATGGCGCAGAAGTTTTTTGCCTACTCTTGGCGTGTGTGTGTGTGTGTGTGTGTGTGTGGAGGGGGGGAAAAGAGTGAGGCCGTGTGGTCATGTGGTACATATCCGTCGTCGTGTGAGGCCTTATGGGTTGTGCATAAAAATATGGCCAGCCATATGGCCTTGACAGCGTGTGTGAGTGAAGAAAGAGGTTTCTCTGCATGCCTTTCTGTTGGAGGTCAGTAATGCACGTGTGTGCTCGTGAAGTGCGTGTATAATATTTGCATTAGGCGTCCTTTCCCTTTGACATCCCTTTCTGGCTTTTTCTTTTCGCGGTCGCAATACTTTTCTTTTGTTTTTGAGTTCAGGACACAGCAGCAGCAGCAGCAGCAGCAGCTCCAACTTGCCGTAATTTTCCGTACAACTGGAAGTGTGACTCATAAACGCCATCAACAGATTGACTTTTATATAAAAGATGTGTTTTCGAAACGCATTGGGGCGCCGGGATGAGGTGTTTTTTTTAGGGTGTTAAGTTCAGGATGCTGTGGTACGGTGACACACACGTGGAAAGGGTCACTGGTGAACGGCGTGTGGGGGCATGTGTACGACATTGGTCGATCGTGTGGATTATACGAGTCGATGTACGACAAAGGAGGTCCCCAGCCGTGAAGCGCGCGATTTATTGTTTGGGCTCGCTCGAAACAACGGGAACAGGATTTGAGGTCTTTTTTCATCATCTTCTTCGCCTTTTTGTCGCATCCCTTTTCACCTTATTTCCATATGTGCTGCAGCTGCAGCTGCTTCTGTGTTGTGCTGTTTTTGCGCTAAGCGCAAGTTATAGCTTGCTGAACAGGAAGCAGGGCAAAAAAATGCATGCTCGCCCGTGGATTGTGAGGCCATGTCATTTTCCTTTCTCTTTTTGGCTTCCTCCGGCTTTTGATATAGAGGGGAATTGGCCCTTATAAGGTCTCTTCGTTCTTTTGATAATAAGAAGACGAAGGGCTGGTTGCCGTACCAATCAAGAGCTGATTGCCGTACCATTCAAGAGCTGATGGCTACATTTTGGAACCTGAGCGAAACTTGTTACAAAAGTAATAGACCCGCACCCGCGCCTGTGTGTGTGTGTGTATGTGTGCGAGCGTCTACCTACCTGTGGAGTGTGTTTCACATCGCTGACGCATGGATGAACTGTCGTACGTGTCGTACATGGGACGAGTAGTGCGCGCGCGTGCACAAGTGTACATATGCAGTGTTGAGGTGGAGGTGGAGTGAAGTACTGTTTAAAGGATGATGTCAAAGTGGCTGGGGAAAGGGTTTGTCCGCATTTCTGCCTGTCGTACCACATTTGTACGTATTTGTACGGCAACGGGCAGGATTGAAATTCCTGTAAATTTGGTCGACCATGGAGTTCATCCGGTATGCAAAAAGTTCTGTTCTTTCGTGGAGGTGTTTCTTGAAGAGGCACAATAGGCAGTTTCTTGCTTCCTTCACTAAGGCGGGGAAGTTCGCGGGATGGAGCTCTGCTCTGTGCATATTAGCCTCAGTTTGCAATGCGCGCCATTTGTTGTTTTTCAAATTTGAATTTGAAATTTGAATGCGTCCTTGTTTGTCTCAAGAGCTGTCGTCTGTCCACGGCAGGCGGACGTGTGGGTGACCTAGTAGAAGTGTGAAGCGCAGGACCACCCGTGCCTGCAGTACTTGGATGGCGATTAATGTGTCCTGCGGCAGGTGCGGTGCGTATCGTGCTTGCGCATGCAGGGTGTAAGGGATTCCTCCAATCGCCAACTGGAGCCCATTCCTTAACACAGGGCCTTATTACAACGACGCCGAGCTTTCCGCATGTTCCGCAATGAGTGATGGTCATGAAGATTTGTGATTTTTGAAGTTTTTTTAAACGGAATCGGAATTCGGATCAACTTTTACACTTCAACAGCAACTAGCAGTAACGGAATAACGGCCGCATCGTGAACCTTCTTGTGGTCCATGACAATAAAGCTCTTTGTCAGTATTTGCTGGTGGGCCTTTTGGTGAAGGTCTGAGGACTTTCGCCGATTGGGGAGTCGATTGGCAAATATGTATTCCCTCGTGGTTGTGGGTTTCGGAGCCTTCCCTTTCTGCTGTCTAGGTGACACTTGCGTTGTCTGGTCTGGATGGGTGTCTTGTTTGCCCTGATCGTCTCAGGTGCAGTAATAATGCACGGCCGGTTGGCTCTACGCTTCTTAAGTCTGTAGCCCACTGTATCAACCACGCACACACAGTCAAAGGAGGGTGAAACATAGATTCGCCTTAAGTATCCAGCTGGCCTTAAAGGTCTTAGCAACTAAGTAGAATGTAAGGCAAAGGAAAGCCCTGCTCCCAGACGTGATTCTGTACAGCGGCTTGAAACCGGTGAACTCAAGGTGACTAACTACTGGTACGGCAGCACATCTACCTGAAAAGAACAAAAAGAACACCCTCTGTTACACAGAGAGCGAGCCGAGCAAGGCGTTAAGCGCAGCGCCAGCAGAGCTGGTTCTTACAATAATGGAACGATGGCTGGACGTCGGGCCGCTTTTAGAAGCGGCTCGCGCAGATCTGAAGGCAAGCCTGTTTCCCCATGTTCCCAAGAACATTTGCATTGGACTCCAGATGCAGGGCCAGCTGGTCTCAGCCGCCAAGTTGTCCCAAATTATGACCCATTTCCACGCTATCATCTATTGTTCACGCAATAGGTGGGCGAATTGCTTGCTGGCGAATCTTTCAGTCTATTTGAGGCGATGTCCGCGCTGGAGGCGGGCAACCCGAAAATGGATGCGGCGGCATCGCCATCAGTCGAACGGCCCACGCTAGAGGCACTTCTAGCGGATCCAAATTTGGCGCCGTGGGATCTACCTGAATCCACCCTGTTGGACGTTCTCGATCAGCTGCTAGCGATGGAGGCGAGCTGGCATTGCGGTGGCAGCGCCATGCAGACGGTGTACGCCTGCCTCTACATGCTCAAACTGGACAGGTTCGTTCTCCTCCGTTAGTTATATGCATCCTTTCCCTCTGTCTCTGTGATCTCCCAGGGCAAAAACATAGTGGCAAGGAACTCGACGGACGCTGTTTTACTGCTTGTACGGCAACAACTTGAGTCCGTGCTACCACCGCCACTACCACAACATATGTCCATGATTCCTAGGCAACAGACAAGTCACATCCCATAAAAGAACACGGATGCGATTGGTGTAGAATGTGTACAGCTAGGAAGATAACCAACCATTGCTAGATAGGAAAGCTTTTAATGCCATGGTTCTCTTCAAACCCAAAATTTTATTTTGCCCCCGACGGCAACGACGATGATGACGACGACCCCCCTCCACATCAGCCGGCCCCCGACCACCCCCACGCAACCCCCCCCTCCCCCCAACGAGGCCCCCAGGGTCCCGCAACAACAGCTGCAGCAGTCGCCGTCCGCGCGTGCCTTGTACGCGTACTGCCGGACACTGCAGTACGATTGCGCACTCGTACGGGATCTGGTTATGAGCGGAGCTGTCTGCGAGGTACGGTCCCCCCCTTGAGAAGGCCGTTGAGGGTGGCGGTTGGTGGTTGGACGGGCCCCCCGGGGGCTGATGACGGAGACCGAACCAATCGGGAAAGGATGAAATAAGTGGACCCCCGGAATATAAACCGTGAACTGTTACAACTATTTTGGGGGAGGTGGAGGAATAAGAAAAAACGCCTCAGCAGCAAGGTGGCTTAGCTTGTGGAGGGAGTATAGGGGAAGACGGGATTGGCCGGGGGGGGGGAGGACGAAGGGGTGGCGGGTGAAAGTTGGTGTTGGCACGGTTTGACATTGTGTGTTTGACATTGTGTGAGCCTCCCTTTCCTGAAGGAGGAGAGCCCGGTGGGGGGGGAGAGTTGGGGTTTGGGGTGTGTGGGTGTGTCCTCGAGAATCCCACACGGCTCGTTAGGTTCTGGATTTCCTGGAGCCCGTGAGCCCTCCAACCGTACAACCGTACAACCGTACAACGACCCCTTTTAACAGCTCTCGTTCTCACCCCCGCACCCGACACCAAGTGGCCTTTGGCAGTTGATTTTCGTGTTTGCCGGCTGAATGCATTCTTAGGCTTCATAATTATAATGATGATGATATTGATGATGATGAGATGATGATGATGATGACGGTGGGGTGGTGGTGGTGGTGGTGGTGGTGGTGGTGGTGGTGGTTCCCCCTGTCTTCCCTCGCTCCCCACCACCATAACGTCTCACCGCCGGCCGTCACAATCTGTAGCAGTCCCCCCTTCCGCTGCTCTCCACTCCATTCGATCTATCTGTCGCTCTTACGTACATACACGTATACATGCATACATACATTTGCACAATTAGGAGGAAGACATCAGCGTATTCACGGCGGGGATACCCTTCGAGCCGCCAGAGGACGGTTCCGGAGCAAGTGCCGTACTGGCGGATCTGGAGGCAGCTATCGCCGCCGCCAGCGGAAGCGGCGGCGGCGGCCCCAGCAGCAGCAGCAGCAGCAGAGGAAGCGACGCCCAGCCGTCAGCGCAAGCAGCGGCGGCAGTGGCGGCAGGGGGCCCGCCGCTAGGGGAGGCCGTGGCGTTGCGTTTGCGATTGCGTCGGGCACTACACCTAGGGTTGGTGCAGACGGCTTCTAAGAACCCCCAGGTTGGTGTGTGTCTGTATGTGTGTGTGTGTCCGTCTGTGTATGTATGTGTTTTTTCCCGGGAAGCCTCCGGGGGAGATATGATGTCGTTCCACACAATTATCGCAATAATGTTCCCTTCAACGGCAAAGGGGTGTTGTTGGGTTGGAAGCATGCAGTTCGCCCTTTTGATGACGTCATCTGCTACTGCTACTGCTACTGCCAATGGTGCTGTTGCTACTGCGGATACGGGTGCTATTTTCGCTGCTGCTGCTGCCTGCAGGAAGTGGCCACCGCGAAGCCGTACTTTGAGGAAGTACGGACGCTCGTACCGCGTATCCGGGAGACCTCGTCCATTCTGACAACCACCGCAACCACCACAACCACCACCGCGACCACGTCCTTGCCCGCCTCATCCTCACCATCATCATCATCCTACCCGGCGGTAGCAGCTGTCGCCGCCGCCGCCGCCGCCGCCGCCACCTCAAGCTCATCTTCTTCGCCGTTGTCGTCGGTGGCGGCGGCGGCGTCGCCGGGGGCCGCCAGCAGCGGCGGCAGTGGCGGCGGCACTATGCCGTCATCGCCGTCGCTGGCGCCTGGCTTCCTAATCGACGTCAACCGGCATTTGTTGGGTCCTTCACCCCCTCGCCAAGTCAAGGTGGGAGATGAACGAAGGAGGGAAGGAGGGACGGGGGAACGGGGGGTGGAAAAGGAAAAGGGAAGCAGGAAAAAGGTTGAAATCAGGTCACCTGATCAGGCGTTACAACACATGGTGATGGGGCAACAGCCCAAAAGGAAAGAGCCTGGCGACATCCAAACGCAGTGACAGACAACTGACAACTGTTTGAATTTGAATTGGAGTGAAATAAGGGGGGGTAAGGGTGACACCTAGGGTTTTAGGGTATAAGCCCCTCGAATGGTCAAGTAGGCAGTAGCGACGCCTGCAGGGCAGCAGGGCAGGAGGAGGGGTAGCAGATACCCGCGACCGGGTGTGTCTTGCACCTGTGGATATGGATATAGAGGACAGGAACACAGCCTAAGTTTTCTCCTGGGGTGGGTGGGAGCTTTGGGGGGGTGGTGAAAGGTCACCTGCGAGGTGGGGTGAGGTGCGGAGGTGACGACACTTTTCATCCCTACATACATGTCGTACATGCCGTTATGTTTGCGTCATGTATTTATTTGTATGTCAGTATGTATGTATATATGTATGTTTATATGGGCGTCATGCACTTCCTCGATGCGGCTGCCGCCACCGCCGCACTGCATGTGTGCAATGCGTTGGACCCTCCCCCATTTTGTTCGCAGGTTATGTCGGTTTCGGAGGCGTTGTCGTACATGGAGCGAATGGCGGAGCACCTGCTTGTGGCGGTCACGGTTTCGGAGCTCGTGCACGAGTGGGTGTTTGAAAAGAGAGAGAGAGAGCACCCTCCCTCTCACCCCTGCACGGCGGGGGAAATCCTCTTTCCCCCCAACTTCCCCCTCCCCCCCCCAACGCCACCTTGCGACGCACCGGTTTCGGAGCATTGTAGCAGCGGAGGGTCGGTGCACTGCGTTAAGGTTGACCGTTGTTACAGTTGTTACAGTTGAGACCTTGAAAGAGATTTCCCTCGAGAGTTCAATCACTTCACGCCCACTGCGCAACCTCCTCTTCCCGGGGGCAGTTGATTCCTTGTTTCCTTGCACATGCCCCCCCTCCCCTTTTACCTTCTCTCCCCCCCTCCCCCCCCTTCTTCACCCCTCTTCCCCCGTCCTCCCCCCCCCTCACCCACCCTCTCCCCCTCACCCACCCGTAGCTACCTCTCTCTGCAGCTCTTCCTCTGGCGCTATGCCCGCATGCGGCCTGGGGCCGTGGCTAGGTCCGCCATGCACTCACTGGTGATGGCGGAGAGGTGGCAGGTGGGTGGCGAGTTGGTTGGGGGTCGTTGGGAAGTTGGTTGGGAGTTGGTTAGATTGGGTACTGAGACGCGGGTAGGTTGGGTTTTAGGGTTTTGGGGAGTGTTAAGAAGGCTGTGGGCGAGTGTTCAAAACTGTGTACGTGTGTGTTTGTGTGTTTGTATGTGTTTTGATGGCTGCTATTATCTTAACACGGAGAATCTTTTGGCGCTTTATACTCCGGCGCGCACGGATGCACATACAGACGTAAAAATCCCTTTCCATTCCGCCCACCCCCACCCCTACACCTGCTGGTCCATATCGCCCCACTACCACCATTTGGAGGGCCTCTTCTATTCGCTCTGGCGTCTTTCTCCCCCCTTTCCCCCTCGTCAACATCTTAAAATTATTCAGCGATATTCTCACTAGTAGTACTGTTACTCCATTCCTGGACTGCGACTGTGTCTTCAGTAAGCTCTGCATGTAGCGACCTCCTCCTTCTCAACCCGTGTGGTGCACTCCTTCCTTTCCCGCGGACCAGTTCAATTAAAACACACACACATACATACATACAAAAATACATACACACTTACCCCAAAAGCACACTCCAATTCATTACCCTCAGCCACGTGATATGCCCCCTCGGCGCCAGTTCCCCTGCCCACTCCCCCTGCCGATTTCCCTTGCTCGCGGCTCATTTTATCAAATTACGAAACGCTGAACATGGACAAGAGGACACACAAATGCAAGTCCTGCTGTTCTTTAACATGTCTGTATGTATGTATGTCTGCTTATCTGCGCGAAATCACTTACTTCCCAAAGACCGCTAATCCCAACAGGCTAATGCGTCAAGCAGCGGCAGCGGCAGCAACTCCGCCAACCAACAACAACAACAAGAACCTAGCAACCACCACAGTGACGTGGCTGGGCGGTCGCTACAACGAAACGGCGTCACCACAACGCAACAGCAGCAGCAGCAGCAAGGGGGGGGGGCGGGCAGGGGAGTGCG